GACGACGCCTCCAACGACTTCGACGCCGCCGACAACGACGACGACGACGACGACGACGACGACGACGACACCGACGACGACGACCGACGACGCCGCCGACGCCGCCGACGACGACGACGATGACAACGACGACGACGATGACGACGACGACGACGACAACGACGACACTGACGACGACGACGACGACGTCAACGACGCCGACGACGACGGCGGCGACAACGACGACACCTACGACGACGACGACGACGCCGACGCCGACGCCGACGACGAAGACGACGACGACGTCGCCAACGAAGACGACGACGAGGGAGGAGGGGACGACGACGGCGACAACGACGACAACGACGACAACGACGAGGGAGGAGGGAGGACGGCGACGACGCAAACGACGAAGGAGGAAGGACGGCGACGCCGACGACGACAACGAGGGAGGAGGGAAGACGACGACGACAACGACGACGACGACGACGGCGACGAAAATAGGAGGGACTACGACGAGACGCCGACGACGGACGACGATGACGACAAAGGAGGAGGAGGAAGGACGACCACGGCGACAACGACGACGGAAACGACCACGACGCCAAAGAGGACGACGACGACGAACACGAGGAAAGACAGATGACGACGTAGGCGACGACGACGACGACGACGCGGGAGGAGGGAGGACGGCGACGACGACGACGATGACGCAAGAGCGCACGCTTTTGTTGAAAATCCGTGTTGCGAAACCTTGTGTTTTTGTAGGTTTTGTGGACACACGATTTTGAAATCCTTCCGAAACCGATGGGTTTTGAAGGATTTCGGCATACGCGCGCGACGACGCGCGCGTCTGCACTTCGTCCAATTTTTTTGCAGAGGATTCTTGCGACGGCACACGCGCAAGGGCGTTCGACAGATTTCGACATGCGCGCGCGCGAAGCCCGTGAAAATCTTGAAAAACCTATGGTTTTCTTAAGATTTCGCAAGAGCTCGCGCGGAAGCTTTTTTAACAAATCAGTGTTGCGAAACCATGTGTTTGTATGTTTTTTGGAAACTCGATTGCGAAATCCTTCCGGCACCGAAAGTTTTTGAAGGATTTCGGCATGCGCGCGCGACGACGCGCGCGCGTGCACTTCGTCCCATGTTTTACAAGGAATTCATGAAAAAGTGCGATGTTAGAACAACAAAAGTCACCGCATAGTGTTTTTTACAATGGAACCTCAGGGGGGTGGAACCCGGTTGGCCTGGGACATTGTGATTTCATATTTTGGATGGACATGCGGTCATAATCATTTGTGATTTACATAGGACGCGGGGGGGCGATATCGCCGGGGGGGGGGGGAGAGTCTATTCTCTTGCTAGAAAGGAGAATTAAGATTTCGCAAGAGATCGCGCGGAAGCTTGTTTAGCAAATCAGTGTTGCGAAACCCTATGCTTTTGTATGTTTTTGGGGAACTCGATTGCGAAATCCTTCCGGCACCGAAGGTTTTTGATGGATTTCGGCATGCGCGCGCGACGACGCGCGCGTGTGCACTTCGTCGCATTTTTTGCAAGGGATTCGTGAAACAGTCTTATGTTAGACCAAAAACTGTCCCCGCGTATCGTTTTTTACAAGGGAACCCCAGGGGGGTCGATCCCGGCCCCTCCGGGATAGTGTAAATTCATACTTAGGATGGACATGTGGTCAGAATCATCTATGATTTACATACCCGAAAGGGGGGGGGATAACGAGGGGGGGGGGGGAGAGTCAATTTTTTTCTCGGGAAAGGAGAATGTATGTGTTGCATTCTAGTTTGTGCAATATATGTTGTGCAAAGTATGAGGTGCAATCTCTGTTGCGCAACGTATGTGGTGCAATCTATGTCGGGCAATCTGTGTGGAGCAACATATGTTGGGCAACTCATATGGAGGCGCCGTCCATGTTGTGCAATGTATATGGTGTACAAGATATGTGGATGCAATACATGTGGTGCACTCTATGTGGTGTAACCTATGTCCTGCAATTGACTACCCTGCACCGCGCTTGACCACCTCCACTGCTCGCGCAAACATCCCACCCACCCACCCGCAACTTGGTTTGCAAAATCTCTTAAGACCGTGACGGTGGGTACCAAATGGCACTTGGCAACGACAGCGACGCCGACGACGACAGCGACAACGACGACGACGCCGCCGACAACGACTACGACGAAACCCACGACGTCTCCAACGACTTTGACGACGCCGACAACGACGACGACGACGACGACGACGACGACGACACCGACGACGACGCCGACGCCGACGACGATGACAACGACGCGACGACGATGACAACGACGACGACGATGACGACGCCGACGACGACGACAACGACGACACCGACGACGACGACGTCAACGACGCCGACGCCGACGACGACGACGACGGCGGCGACGACGACGACGCCGACGTCGACGACGACGAAGACGGAAACGACGCCGACGCCGACGACGGCGACGAAGACGACGACGACGTGGCCAACGAAGACGACGAGGGAGGAGGGAGGACGACGACGGCGACAACGACGACAGGAGGGAGGACGGCGACGACGCGAACGACGACGACGTGGAAGGACGGCGACGCCGAGGACGACAACGACGAGGGAGGAGGGAAGACGGCGACGACGACAACGACGACGACGACGACGACTACGACGACGACGACGACTACGACGACGACGACGGCGACGAAATAGGAGGGACGACGACGAGACGCCGACGACGGACGACGACGACGACGAGGGAGGAGGAGGAAGGGCGACCACGGCGACAACGACGACGGAAACGACCACGACGCCAAAGAGGACGACGACGACGAACACGAGGAAAGACAGAGGACGACGTAGGCGACGACGACGACGACGCGGGAGGAGGGAGGACGGCGACGACGACGACGACGACGACGCAAAAACGCGCGCGCACGCTTTTGTTGAAAATCCGTGTTGTGAAACCATGTGTTTTTGTAGGTTTTGTCGACACACGATTTTGAAAGCCTTCCGAAACCGATGGGTTTTGAAGGATTTCGGCATACGCGCGCGACGACGCGCGCGTCTGCACTTCGTCCCGTTTTTGCAAATGATTCTCGCGACGGCACACGCGCAAGGGCGTTCGACAGATTTCGACATGCGCGCGCACGAAGCCCGTTTGGTAGCATTTTGTGAAAATCTTGAAAAACCTATGCTTTTCGTAAGATTTCGCAAGAGCTCGCGCGTAAGCTTGTTTAGCAAATCAGTGTTGCGAAACCCTTTGTTTTTGTATGTGTTTTGGAAACTCGATTGCGAAATCCTTCCGGCACCGAAGGTTTTTGAAGGATTTCGGCATGCGCGCGCGACGACGCGCGCGTTCACTTCGTCCAGTTTTTGCAGATGATTCTCGCGACGGCACACGCGCAAGGGCGTTCGACAGATTCCGACATGCGCGCGCACGAAGCCCGTTTGGAAGCATTTTGTGAAAATCTTGAAAAACCTATGCTTTTCGTAAGATTTCGCAAGCGCTCGCGCGTAAGCTTGTTTAGCAAATCAGTGTTGCGAAACCCTATGCTTTTGTATGTTTTTTGGAAACTCGATTGCGAAAGCCTTCCGACACCGAAGGTTTTTGAAGGATTTCGGCATGCGCGCGCGACGACGTGCGCGTGTGCACTTCGTCCCATTTTTTTCAAGGGATTCGTGAAACAGTCTTACTTCTGTTAGAACAACAAATGTCCCCGCGTATTGATTTTTACACGGGAACCTCAGGGGGGTCGATACCGGCCCCCCTGGGATAGTGTAAATTCATATTTAGGATGGGCATGTGGTCAGAATCATATATGATTTACATACCCGATAGGGGGGCGGATAACGCCGGGGGGGGTAGAGTCTATTCTCTTTTTAGAAAGGAGAATCTAAACGCGGCGACGAGCGGCAACGGCTATGGCGGGGCGGCGACGGCGACAACACAGCCGCCAGACCAGCAGACAGGCCCAGACGACGGGCGGCGACGAGGCGGCGACGGCGACAACATAGCCGCCAGACTGGCAGACAGGCCCAGACGACGGGCGGCGACGAGGCGGCGACGGCGATAACATCGACGCCCGACCGGCAGGCAGGTCCAGTCCCTCAGAGCAGAAATAAGAACCCCTAAATGCAAGCACTAGTTGGGGAACAAAAACTCCGGGACATGTGGGCAGACCTTTGGAACGGCCGTGGAAACCTCGTCCTGTCCCTCATCATTCCCCTCTTCACCCTCATCCTCTTTCTCCTCCTCCCTGGCCTTCAGCCTCTCTATCATCCTGACCCGCTCTCTCTCTCTCTCTCTGTCTCTCCCTCTCTCTCTCTTTCGCTCTCTACATGTGTCTCTGTCTCTTTCTCTTTCTGTCTATTTCTCTTTGTCAGTTTTTTGTTTTTCTCTCTCTCTCTCTCTGTGTTACTCTGTCCCTCTCTCTCTCCTCCCTTCCTTCCCCCCTACACTCGCCTAACCTCCCCTCCCCTCCCCTCGCCTCCCCCACTCTCCCACCTTCCCTCCCCTTCCTTTCGTCGCTCCCTCCTCTGCGATTGCACGGTCAGCCTATCAGCGGGAGAGAGCATGTTGCTCGCCCCGACTGCCAGCTGCCCGAAACGCACAGCGCATACGCCTGAGGGCAAACTCGTGCAAGAGGCCGTTGTCGCCTCGGATAGCTCTCTCCCGCGGAGGATGCCGGAGGATCTGCTGAGATGTAACGTGCAATCTACACTGGATGTCATGAACGGATGCGCACTTCTTTCGGGGAGACGTAAGACTCGGGTACGGGGGACTCGGGTTGGCCTGACGGGGGCCATCATAAAAATGACGAGACCCAATCTGAAATTTGACGCGGGCTCCCGCTGCAGACATCCCACGAAAACAGGACCGTCAAAATTCAGGATGCGCTCGTCAAAAAAAATCGGCAAACCCGAGTTCCGGCTTACCCGAGTCTTACGGTCTCCCGATTCTTCCTAAAGGCCAGGAAAAGGGCTTCCTGTGGAGCCCCGGCCAGCGGGATTCTCATTCGATCACGGCGCTGCCCTCCACCTTGTCGATCGCCAGCAGGCCGCAGAGCACCACGCTAGTGTCGGTACCCTGCCACACCTTCGCCTGATAGCGCGGCCCGGCGCCGTGCACCGGCCGCGCCCTCTCGACGACGCAGACCTTCTGCCCGCTCGAGGGGCTCAGCACGCTGACCCTCCTGCTGCGGAAGTCGCCCTTGAACACGAGCAGCAGCCTGCCGTCCTGCCCGCGCAGCGCGTACCGGCTGGTGCGCGCGGAGTCCTCGAGGGCACACGCAACCGCGGGGAGGGTGAGGCTCGCCCGCCTGGGCGGGCATGGGAGGAGGAGGAGGAGGAGGAGGAGGAGGAGGAGGAGGAGGAGGAGGAGGAGGAGGAGGAGAAGGGAGGAGGAGGAGGGCGAGGAGGGAGGAGGGAGGGAGGGAGGGAGGGAGGGCCGGGCAGCATCGGCCAGCACCGCAGCAGGAGATCGACGGTCGGATCGCAGCGCGCGCGTCGGATCGGGCCGCCTCGGCGCGGCGTCGGAGGCGGAGCGGACGTGGAGGCGCCAGAGTGCACCACGGCGGCGTGCGAGCATCGGGTCGGGCGAAAGGGGGGGATAGTAAAGGGGGGGGGTGAGAATCAGCTCACGTAGCTGATTTTCCCGGCGCTTTCGCCCGACCCGAGAGCAGTGGGCTGCATCGCATCGTCGGAGCACCGGAATCGGGTCGGATCGGGCCCGCCGGAGTCGATGCCGGACCGATCGGGACGGGTCGCCCAGCTTCGCACTTCGCGTCGCACGGAGCGCGCCATCTTCGCGCCCTCCGCCCCAGAGGAGAATCACTGTCCCACCCAGCCGACGAAGCGCACCTGCCATCGGGCAGCCCAGGAAAGGAAGAGGCCGACTGCGAGGCTCGACGAAGCCCCCCGACAGTGGAAGCCCGACCTTTAGAGCGAGGAGGCCTGCCACTCACCGGAGGCTCCGGGAGGCCCTTGGAGCCTCTGGAGCAATCACAACCCTCGGCGGCTCCTGGCAGCTCGGTGCCTCTGGAGCAGCTTCAACCGCGAGTGCCCCCAGAGCAGCCCGTCGGGGATCTTCTGACCCGGGTCAATGCAGGACCAGGTCGGTCAAGCATTGCACGATCCTGCAGGCTCCTGCACGCCGGCCCGGGTCAGTGCAGCCCGAGCCCTGCAGGATCCTGCAGGGTCCAGCACTCTGACCGACCCCTGCTTGCCTTGTGGATGCCACGACAATGGACACCCTAACAGTCCTATGATCGAAATAAAGATGTTTGTAAAATGTCGGACAATGCCCCCGGAAATGTTTAAAACGTGTTCTTTACATCTTTAAGAAAGTTTTCACACATGTTCTGGACATCCGGACACTATCTGGCAGCATGCCTCCTCTCCACCGATCGCCCTCCACGGTGCCTGCCTCGACCCCCGCCTCTTCGGCTGCCCCGTTAAAACGGGGCTAAGATCGGGATGAATCGCTCCAGAGCGTTCCGGAGCGCTCTCAGAGCGCTCCGGAACGCTCTGAGAGCGGCCGCGGCGCCCAAGACATCCTCCAAACCCGCCGATTCTCAGAGATTTCGAGCTACCCCGATCCGATTTTGCCCCGACCTTCGCGTCGTTTGCCCCGCGTCCTCCCGCGACAGCGTGCCGAACACGGAGCCGTCCGGCCGGCAGATCTGCGGCATGCCTGGCGGGCGGCGCGCGCCGCGGAGCGCGAGGGCGCGAGGGGGGCGAATCCCAGACCCCCTCGAGTTATGAAAAAATCGCGACGGGAGGTTTTTCAATTTTTTTTGCCTTTGGGGGCCCTTACCGGCCCTCGGGACCGTCAAAAAACGACTCAGGACGAAAAACCGGTCCCCGGGAAGGGGTCGAGACCTCGGGGGGTCGACGTCATGAAAAAATCATGACGTCGGGGGTCTGTGATGGGCGGCCGCCTCCGCGGAGAGGCCGCCCGCCTCCCGACTCGCCGTCGCTCGCACGTCCCTCCCCGGTGCACCTGTCGGCTCCGTGCGTGTATCTGTGCTTGTGTCGGGTCGGGCGAAAGGGGGGGATAGCAAAGGGGGGGGTTGAGAATCAGCTCACGTAGCTGATTTTCCCGGCGCCTCCCGGCGCCGGAGGCGCCCATGTATCGAGGAATGGGCCCCTCGGTGAGGCCGAAACCAGCTGCATGCAGCAAATTTCGTAACCCTCCCTTTCCCAATCCCCCCCTTTCGTCCGGCCCGCTTGTGGATGACACGACAGTGGACATCCTAGCAGTCCTGTCATTGAGATTAGAGTGTGATTCAGATGTCGGAAAAATGTTCTAAGCATGGCTTGCACAAGATTTCTTACATGTCTAAAACATGGTTAACACATGTTCTAGACATTTGGAAATTATTTGGAAACATGCTTCCTCTCCACTGATCGTCCTCCCCAAATTTATGCCCCAAATGGCCCATGGTCATGCCGAAAACAAAATGCACGCGTCCGAGCGATGCCAGGCTGAGGGCGACGCGCGGGCGCGGGGACTTCTCCGGGGGGGGGAGGGGCGGTCCCCTCCAGAGAGGGAGTCCGCTGCTCGGCGGCGAGCGATAATTAAGGGGGGAAATGAGAAGGAGAAGGCCTTCTCAGAAGCCGGCGGGACTCCTCGGAAGCCCCCGCGCCCTCCGAGAAGTTTCTTCTCTGTCTTCCGGGAGGGCTCGCAAGACTCCTCAGAAGGCCGGGGACTTCCGATCCGTCTGAGAAGGCCCGCTCCTGCTCGCTCCCCCCCCGGGCTGGGCAGGATTCGACTTCCTCCAACGGCAGCCTAGGAGGAGGAGGAGGAGGAGGAGGAGGAGGAGGAGGAGGAGGAGGAGGAGGAGGTGGAGGAGGAGGTGGAGGAGGAGGAGGAGGAGGAGGGAAAGGGGGGAGAACGAGGACGAGCGGCAGGGTGGAAGACCTGCGAAGTTGACGCAGACGCCGCAGACGACGACGGCGACGGGGGGCGAATCGGGGCTCGCCGCCGGGCTGTCCTCTCCCGGCGGACGTTGAACGGCACGCGGCGAGCCTGTCCACCACCCCGGGGGGGAGGGGCCCGTTCCTGGGCGGCCCGAGAGCGTGTGCACGCCTGACGCGCTGCGCGGTGGCACGGCCTCCCGGCCGCCCTTGGGGCGGGCGCCCCCGACGGCGGAGAAGCTTTCATGTTTACTCTCTTGCACAGGGTGCCTAGGAGCTCCGACCACTTTCTTCCGCGTCGCACCTCCCCCCCCCCTCCCGCGTCCCCAGCGCCAGTGTGGGACCCCCGCGCCGTGGCTCTCTGCCCCGAGCCCCCCCGCGTCCCCAGCGCCCCAGCGGGAGCCCCGCCCACTGCCCCCTCCGCCGCGAACGCTTTGTTCCGCGTCGCGACGCACACCACCTCCCCCAACCTCCCTCCCCGCGCCCCCAGCGCCAGAGTGGGACCTCCGCCCCGTGCCCCCTCCGCCCCGACAATTTGATTCCGCGTCACGACGCACACCACCTCCACCCCTCCCCCCCGTCCCCAGCGCCCCAGTTGGACCCCCGCCCCGTGGCCCTCTGCCCCAAGCCCCGCCCAGTGCCCCCTCCGCCCCGACCATTTTATTCCGCGTCGCGACGCACACCACCTCCCCCCCCTCCTCTCCGCGCCCCCAGCGCCCCAGTGGGACCTCCGCCCCGTGCCCCCTCCGCTCCGAGCACTTTATTCCGCGTCGCGACGCACACCACCTCCCCCCCTCCCCACCCCACCTGGGATTCGGGCCCCCGTTGCTGCCCCGAGGGACGATTGTTCTTGCCCCCCTCTTCCCTCCTCCTCCACCTCCTCCGCCTCCCTCTTCTTTTTTGTGCAAGGGCCCAAGGCAACGTGCCACTTGTATACCGATCCTCGTCCGTTGATGCACAGAAGGCCGCGTCCTCACCCTCCTCCTCTTCCTCCTCCTCCTCCTCCTCCTCCTCCTCCTCCTCCTCCTCCTCCTCCTCCTCCTCCTCCTCCTCCCCCTCCTCCTCCCCCTCCTCGCCTCCTCGCCCCTGGCCTCCTCTTCCTCCTCCTCCCTCCCTCCCCATCCAACAAGTTCTGGGCGCCCGCTGGGCGCCTCCTCGGCCCTTGTGCACCGCGTCTGTGCGCACAATGCCCATCGGCCTGCCGTCGGCCTGCTCCACGCGCATGCAGCACTCGGCTCCCGGCCGGCGCTCGTCGACGAGGACCCTGCTGATCGGCTCGCCCTGTGAGCTGAGGATGTCGAACGACGTCTCCTGTCGGCTGCACGCAAGGAGCGGCGCTGGGCAAAATTGACCCGTGGTGTGCGGCCTGCCGACCGTTGTACGGCAGGTCCGTGTCGTGTCGACCCCGGAGTTGGTTCCTGACACTGCTGGGATCGTTCAAACTTGAACGATCGGCCTTTTCAAGAAGGCCAGATCGTTCAAGGATGGGCCGATTCTAGGCCACAAGCGGCGTTCAACCTTACACGCGCACGCTGGGGTCGCCGCCGGTCGGCACGACGCAAACCTGCCGTATGCGATGCAGCAGTGGCGGGGCCCGCGCCCCCCGAAAGCCACGCACCAGAGGCCACTCCGAGCGAAGGGCCACTCCAGCACGCCTTCTCTGAGTACCTCAATAGTTCTGGTCCCCCGGACTACAGGGGCCCCCCGGCTTTCAAGGGCCCCTCCCCCGGACTACAAGGGCCCCCCCCCCGGACTACAGGGACCCCCCCCCGGACTACCAGGACCCCCCCCCGGACTACAAGGGCCCCCCCCCCGGACTACAGGAACCCACCCCCGGACTACAATGACCCGGAAGCAAGGAACAAAAACTTGACAAGGGACAGGAAACGAGGAACAAAACTTGAAAAGCGAAAGGGGGCGGGAGGGGGAAGGGAGCACCCCGACCCCTCCCGGACTCAAGGCCCCCCCCCCGGACTACAAGGCCCCCCTTCCGGACTACAAGGCCCAAAAAACCCACCCCGGACTACAGGGGCCCAACCCCCGGACTACAGGGGCCGCCCCCGGACTATTGCGCACCCCAGAACTATTGAGGTACTCAGAGTTGCCGATCCTGCCGCTGCGCCGTGATGACCTCCGGCAGGACGAACACGATCTCCCACCCCTCAGGCACAACCAGCTCCTGAGGGGCAACGACAGGGAAGGACTGGCTCAGGGGTGGAGCATCGCGCTGGAATCGGCGATGCATGGCCGATGGATCGGCGGTAGGCCCTCGAGGGCGACACGGCACGGCCCCGGGCGGGGCGGGCTGTTGGGCCCTCATGGGCGATCGGTGGGCCCTCTGGGGCCAATGCACCCCCCCCCCCCGCCTCCCCCAACGCCCATCCCAGGCCCCCCCCCCTGCCTCGCGCTGCCCTGGAGCTCTCCTCGCACAGCACCCCCGCTGCGCCCCCGCGCCCGCCGCCCGGGCTGGCGGCGCCCCCGGAGCTCGCGCTCGCCGTGCTCTCCTCCTGCAGGCCGTGCTGCGCCGGCGCGGCCGAGCCCGCCGAGCTGTCCAGCGGGCCCGCCTCCGGCGCGGGCGCCCGCGCGGCGGGGCCCCCACCGCTCCTCGCGCCGCCGCCCGGCCGCGCCCCCGGCGGCGACGGGCACGGCCCCAGGGTGGGCCGCACGCTGTCGAGCGCCGCGCGCTCGAAGGGGCCCCGCCGCGCGGCCGCCGTCTGCGGTGGCGACCCCGGCGGGCCCCCGGCGGCGCGGAACGGGCTCTGCGGCGGGCTCGCTTCGCTCGGGGGCTGGCTCTTGATCTGCGGCGGGCCGAAGTGGGCGTCCTTCAGCAGGAGGGACAAAAACACACAGACACATCGAATCGACGATTCCCCAGAAATATGAGAAAATATGGGCAGTGGGGGGGAAGACGGAAACCCAGAAAATATGGGAAAATATGGGGAACCTTTTTATTTGTGTATTTATTTGTGTGTCCCAGGGCCCCTTCAGTCCTGGGAGGCGCCCCGGATCATGCACACCATCCCGAGCACGAACCCGCCGATGATGGCGGCGGTGAGCCCCAGGAGGCCCTTGGTCACGGGGTTCTTCCAGGCGGCCACCTCCACGACCTGCTGAGCATCGTGGAGCCGACCTCTATCCCCTCTGGCGTGGCCTGAGCCCCGCTGGCCTCTTTATCCCTAGACAACGATACCTATACGACCACCCTTCGGGTGATAAGGAGGTTGTGCGGGGGGGAGAGGGGGGGAACCAACATCTGACTCAATCGATCTCACTATCGATCTCACTCAACGGGACACCGCGGGACACTCGTCGATCTCACTATCGATTTTACAATCGATCTCCCTCAACGGGACACCAGGGGCCACCACGGGCCACCACGGGACACCGAGGGACACCTCTCGATCTCACTATCGGTCTCACTATCGATCTCACTATCGATCTCACTCAACGGGACACCATAGGTCCGGGACACCACATCGATCTCACTATCGATCTCACTATCGATCTCACTCAACGGGACACCGCGGGACACCACGGGACACCTGTCGATCTCACTATCGATCTCACTCAACGGGACACCAAGGGACACCACGGGCCACCACGTAGCACCACATCGATCTCAGTATCGATCCCACTATCGATCTCACTATCGATCTCACTCAACGGGATACTACGGGACACCTGTCGATCTCACCATCGATGTCACTATCGATCTCACTTTTTGGGACACCATGGGACACCACGGGCCACCACGGGCCACCACGGGACACCTGTCGATCTCACTATCGATCTCACTATCGGTCTCACTATCAATCTCACTATCGATCTCACTATCGATCTCACTTTTTGGGACACCACGGGACACCACGGGATACCGCGGGACACCGCGAGCCACCGCCGGACAGACGGACGGACGGGCGGGCGGGGGAGAATGATTTGTCTTGACTTCGCCCTAGCAACGGCGGACACCATAGGACACCACGGGACACCACGGGATACCGCGGGCCACCGCCAGACGGGCGGGAGGGGGAGAATCATTTGTCTCGACTTCGCCCTAGCAACGGCGGGTTCATGCCTCTCGCGCGCCCACGCAGCTTCGCCTCGCCCGCACGCACGACACGAACGAAACGAAACGATTTCCCGGTTGGGGGCCTCCGTTCCACTGCGATCTCACCCCCCAACCTCCGATAAGCTGTTCCAGAGGGGCCCATACCCAACTGGGGTGGTGGGATGGTAGGGCTGAGATATTATGGCCCAGGGGGTAGGTTCGTGGATGCCATGACAATGGACACTCTAGCAATCCTATCATTGAATCAAACATACGCTCAAAATGTGTGAAACCTCCCTGTAGGAGACCACCCTTTCGGTGAGAACGGCCCAGGACCGAATCCGAAGGACCTGGACCTGCAAAAATGACGGCCGCGGCGCCCTCTCCTTGAATCGACTTCCACAGGGATAGGCTCAACGATACATACTGACCTGAGTCCTGTCCCCAACTGGGGTGGTGGGATGGTGGGGCTGAGATGCCATGGCACAGTGGAGATGGGGGATCTTGGCCATCGCTCGGACGTCCACTCCCCGTGCCTTTTAAACTTCGGTTTCGTGCGTGGCTTTCTCGCAGGATGCTCCAAATCATAACCCCACCTATTGCTCCACAAAAGCACGGGATGCTCCTCAGAATCCCCTGCCGCCCCCAGAAGGAGGGGCAGGGGAGGAGGAGGAGGATGGAGGAGGAGGATGAGGAGGAGGAGTAGGGGAGAACGAGGATGAGGAGAGGAGGAAGAGGAGGAGGAGGAGGAGGAGCAGGAGGAGGAAGAGGAAGAGGAGGAGGGGGCTAGGCTCCACGACACCGACCTCAGCCCTGGTCTGGTTCTGGGCGGGCCGCGAGGCCAGGCCCAGCTCCGTGGCGCCGCGCTCCCGCCGCGCCGCCCGCTCCCGCGGCGCGGCCCGCGAGGCCGCCCGCCGGCGGCCCGGCGGGCTCTCCTGCCGGCTGCACGCAAGAGCGTCGTCGTCGTCGTCGTCGTCGTCGTCGTCGTCGTCGTCGTCGTCGGCGTCGTTCTCGTCGTCGTCGTCGTCGTCGTCGTCGTCGTCGGCGTCGTCGGCGTCGTCGTCGCCCCCCTCATTCCCGCCCTGGGCAGGAGTGACCTCTGCTGCGCGGTCTGCCGTCATCACACGCGGCGTGACAGTTGCGGCCCGTGAGCTGCATTCTGACTACCTACCAGACCACCCCAACCCAACCCGAAGACACGAATTTGATCCTAATTTCGGGTTGGGGGGGGTACGGGGACCATGTGTTTTTTCGATGTTCCCCGATCCCCCCCCCACTGGAAATGGAGGGCAAAGTGAAGCCTTCGGGTTGGGGTGGTTTGGTGGGTGGTGACATTCTGGTCCTCCCGCGCGCCCCCCCCCCACGAGAGCAGCGCAGCAACCAAGGTCACTCCGGCGAAGGGTCCCTCTTGCGTGCCGCCGCTCCTGGATCCCAAGCTTCTCCAGCTCTGCCAGCTCCTGGTGGACGGCCTCCTCGGCTTGCCACAGGGCGGCCAGCGCCGCGTCTTCGTCGGCAGCTTCCTGTCGCCCGCGGGCCTCGTCGGCTGATCTGCTGTCCGCCCAGGAGGAGTAGTCGTAACCGTTGCCGGCAAACGGTGCCATGGCGTCGACGCCGAAGCCATCTTCCTGCCAAGCTGGCCCAGAGTCGGCCAAGTCTGGGCGCGTCAGCTTCACCCGGTGCTGAAACAGCATGTGCTCCTGGTTGGCCTGGCCTGGCAGGCCGTCCCGCGGCCAAAGCTGCACGCGGGTCGCCATCGCCGCCAACACGGCAGCGCATGTTGGGATGCCCAGCGCTCCTCTGGCGGGGATCATCCCGCCTGGCACGGTGGAGTCAAAGCTGTCCGCGCCGGCATGTCTCAGGCCAAATGTCTACGGGCCTTCGTCCCTCCACCTCAAGCATGGGCAGGTAGACCAGGAGGAGCAGGATGAGGCGGATGTGGAGCAGGGGGAGAAAGCGGGGGAACAGGAGGAAGAGGAGGAGGAGGACGACGACGACGATGAGGACGGGAATGAGGAGTAGGAGGGCTGGATCGGCAGGAGGATGCGGTGGAGGCGATGGAGGTGGTGGAGGGGGACGCGAATGAGGAGGAGAAGGAGGCGGGGAGCTCCTGCGAGGACCCTAAGCAAGATCCGAACTGCCAGAAGCAGGGGCGAGAAGCGCGGTGATGCCGCGGTCTGATGTGGCCGGCGCTCGTGGAGGCCAGGGGTCCGAAGCGGGGGGGCACCGGCGCCCGTGCGACACGACTTCCTCGCCGGGCACGTGCTCGGCGGCAGAGGCGCCGCCCGCGGGAGGCAGCAGCGCAGCGACGGGCCCAAGTCGCGTGCGACGTCGCGCCCCGCGCTCCGCCATTCGCGACGCGCGCGCGCGCCTCCGCGCCCTCGCGCCGCCCCTCCGCCTCCTCCTCCTCCTCCTCCTCCTCCTCCTCTTCCTGCTCCTCCTCCCCCCTCCTCCTCCTCCTCCTCCTCCTCCTCCTCCTCCCCCTCCCCCCCTCAAAAAATCATCCTCCTCCTCTCCTCCTCCTCTCTCCTCCTCCTCCTCTCCTCCTCCTCCTCCTCCTCCTCTCCTCCTCCTCCTCCTCTCCTCCTCCTCCTCCTCTCCTCCTCCTCCTCCTCCCCTCCTCCTCTCCTCCCCGTCCTCCTTCCTCCTCCTCCTCCTCTCCTACTTCCTCCTCCTCTCCTCCTCCTCCTCCTCCTCCTCCTCCTCCTCCTCCTCCTCCTCCTCCTCCTCCTCCTCCTCCTCCTCCTCTCCTCCTCCTTCCTCCTCCTCCTCCTCCTCCTCCTCCTCCTCCTCCTCTCCACCTCCTCCTCCTCCTCCTCCTCCTCCTCCCTCCTGCCTCTCTCCTCCTCCGCCTCTCCTCCTCCTCCTCCTCCTCCTCCGCCTCCTTCCTCCGCCTCCTCCTCCTCCTCCTCCTCCTCTCCTCCTCCCTCCATCCCCGCCGCCTCCTCCTCCTCCTCCTCCTCCTCCGCCGCCCCCCCCGGGGGAAGGACAGCTCTCCAGCCCAGGCCGCGCCGCGCGAAGCCCAGCTGCCTCCGCGCCCCCGCGGGCGACCCCAGGGCGGAACCTAAACGGTGCTCTTCGTTTCCCCTTTTGTTCCCAACCATCCTGTGGTGTTGGGTCCTCGTTTTGAAGAGACGGTGCCCCGCGTCCTCTCCTCCTCTCCTCCTCCTCCCCCTCCTCCTCCCTCCCCTCCCCCTCCTCCCTCCTCCCCCTCCTTGCCTTTTGTTTTCGTTGTCCCTCGCTCTGGTCTCGCATCCGCCCCTGCCGCAGAACGAAGCCGAAACGAAAGCGGCCCACGAAATCGCCCAAAACACACTGCTCTGGTCCGGCCCTGGGATCCTGGCGCGGCCGTGCGGAGGCCGCCTCTGGCACGCGCAGCGCCCTCTCCTGGCGACTCCGAAGGGTATGGCTTGCAGAGGGTGCGGTTTGCAACTGGCACCCTGGGGGGCACCCTGGGGGCGGGCGGGGGCCCCGACAGAGCACTCCGCCGCGCCCCGAGGAGGCCCGACGAGGACAGTGCCGCGCCACCCGGGTCCCAACGGCGCCGATCGCAAACCACACCCCGGCGTAACCTCACCCATTGTAGCCGCCGACTCTCGCTCCGCCCGCGCGCCGCCCGGCGAGGCCGCGCGCTTCCGGCCCGGGCGGACCACGGCGCCTGAAGTCGGGCCTGTCCCCCTACAGGGGGATTTTCGAGGAAAAATAAGAACTACACCCCCCAAATACCCCAAAAAGGTCCACAGGAATACTCAAAGAAGTCCCCAGACTATCCTTGGACCACTTTTGGGCTATCTTTGGGGTATTAAATATTTTTTAAAATAAAAAATAATAAAATACAAAAAATAAATAAAACAAAAAAAAAAAAAAAACGTCGAAACTCCCCCCGTAGGGGGACACGCCCGACTTAAACGGAGCCCCCGCCGCCGCCTCTCCCGCGGGGGGGGAGCCTGCAGCGCGGCGCGCCGCCTCGGCGGCCCGCCCCGCCCAGGGCGGGGGGGGGGGGCCTCTGGGAGCCCTCCGGCCTCGCAGCTCCCCGGCGTGCCGCCGCCCGGGCGCCCATTTCTCCCGGGCATTTTTCGCGGTGCTTCGGTGCGTGTTTTTGTTTGTGTTGCTCGATGCTCCAGGGTGGTCCTCGACGGTCCTCGCCGAGGAAGAAAATTCACACGTCCGAGCGATGCCAAGCCAGGAGGTCTCCGGAGATCTCGCGGGGAAGGCCCCCGAAGGCCTGAGCGTGCTGGAACGCCTCAGGGGGGGGGGGAAACACACACACACACAGACACGAGTAATCGTCGACTCCCAGGAGAATATAGGCCTGCAGACGGCCCCTCCACCACCCCCCGATCGCGGCGACAGCGGGAGGGGTCCCAGAGGATCCCAGACCACAGAAATCTCCCAAAAGGAAGGGCACATGTCCAAAGAGGCCGAAAACATTCAAACAATGATTGAAACAAGCAGCAAACATGCAAACCTCGTCCTCCTGCTGCTGCGGCTGCTCCGCCTCAAGAAGTCTCCTGAACCCGTCAAGGCCTCCTTCAGAATTGACAAGCACACCCCTCCGAGTGAAGTCGAAAGCTCAATTTTGGAGGCTTGGGACTCTCTGGAATTGTAGCATTCCCCAGGAACCTCTCAAGCTCCTGAGAAAACTCGATCTAAAAACACTTGACAAATCCCCTCCATCCCCTCCTCCTGATCCGTAACTACGCATCGTCGCACCACCAGACGAGTCGATAGGGTGTGCCAAGCAATTCGTCGGAGAGTTCCTCTGAATTTCGGATCATGACGCTTCAGATCCTAAGTAACAACTGCGCGGATGAACGGCGGGTTGTTTTCAATGTGTGGCTCTCGCCTTAGCGCCGCGCACGTTCACGCTGAACACCTTCAACAACTACGCACACGAACGGGGCACAGGTCGTTCCCGTGCAAAACGCGGCTGCTGGCTCTTGCCATAACGCCGCGCACATTCATCGCACGGATAAAGGGCGCCCCCCCGCTTGAGACTCTACACTTCCCCCACACCGAAAATGAACACGCATAGCAATCACACAGACGAAGGCCCTGGGGGCCGTACCGAGAGGCCCAAATCACTGACCGGCCTGAAATACTTATCATATGTATCTTTTAGAACGGGGGGGCGTCCACGACGGCCAGGAAGCCCCCCCAAATCATCCCAAGACAGCGCCCAAGAGCAATCCGAGAAGACCCCACGCCCCAAGAGAGAGAACTCGAAGTGGGCGCTGCGCCCATCTACACCTAAATGGCCTCTGAAACCGCCTCCAA